ATTAACTCCTGCAAAGAGATATTTGGGTTTCATTCCAGGCTCCGATCCGGCGGGTGCCTGAGCATGACAGGCACCGGCGGAATTGCCCGGCACCTCGTTTATTCCAGGCGCGGCGCGCCGCTTGTTGTATCGATTCGCTGGTGTTGAACACGACTCTATAAACAGCAAATCTGCTGGGGATTTCCTCTCCTTTTCCTGCAAGACGGGGAAAAAAAAAAAAAAAAAAAAAATTGGGTTGGGAGGGAGGGGAAGAGAAAGGAAGGGAAGGAGCAGGCGCCTCTCGGGCAGCACAGAAAAAGGCATTTTCAGCAGGCCGTAAAAATGGATTTGACGCCAGGCTGCTTGCTGACGGGAGCAAGTTATTACAATAGAAATCATCGTTTAGGAGCAACGCTCGCTCCTCTTGGGGGCCAGAGCTGGGCTGGTGCTCAGCAGGGCTGCTTCTATGAGCCCAGCCCCATCCTGCCCTGATATCTGGGGCTGTTTCCCTTTTTTCTCTGCTTTTTTTCCATTTCCACCTGCCCGTGTGCTCCTGCCCTGAGCTATGCGGGAGGGCAGCAGACCCGTTCCCAGTGTTATTTCCCCCTTTTCCTGCCGTGGGGTTGCTGGCACACGGAGTTTATTTATGCCATGCAATGAGGGAGGGTGGCAAGTCCAGCGCTGCAGGGAGAGGATGAGGATGAGGATGCACCAAGGGATAAAACAGCAGCTGGGGTGACCGAGGGGGAAGGGTGGCTGTCCCCAAACCATGCAGGCTGTGGGGTTTTTAGAAAGCAGGCAGGGAACAGCCCATCCTAAAAACAATTACGGGGCTGACGGCTCCCCTGCAGCACCTGGGTGCTCCCCCACCACCCACCTGGGGCTGCTCTGGTATAAATGCACCCGGCCGAGCAGCCCCATTTTTTGGGGGCAGATCCCAGCTAATGGAGCCTGCACCAAGGAATCCCCTTGTTTGTTGTTTTTCTGCTTAAAAGCTGTGGGAGCCTGGGATGTGCTGGCTGCAGGGAGATGCGGTCCTCTGGGGAGGAGCAGGTACTGAATGGTGGGGGAGGGAGGTGGGGAAGGGCTGTGAGCAGGAGGGATGGGGAGGGAGGGCCAGGAGCCCGATTGCCTGGTTGTTCAGCCCTGGCTGGAGGAGCAGGGCTCTGTGCTGTGACACCAAGAAGTGCCGAGTTCTCCTCCGAGAGGCGAACGAGGTCAAGAATTAATCCTGCTAATGAGATGTCAGGATTGCTTTGTGTGTCCTTGTCAGCCGGGCAGGGTGACAGTGTGTGAGAGGTGCCGAGGGGACCCTGAGGCAGAAAGCTGCTGGTTTTTTCTTTCTTTTTCTTTTTTTTTTTTCTTTTTTCTTTTTTTTCCTGGAAGGAGACCGAGCTCCCTGCAACACCGTGCTGCCAGGGGGCATGGGCAGGACCCTGAGCGTGGGGCTCATCCTGCTGGGACCTGGTGCCCTCCCAGGCACCCTGTGCCACCAAATATATTTGGGTTTTTCCTTTCTGCTGAAGGGAGATGAAGCTGGTGCCCTCTGCTTGTGAGCTGATGGAGATGAATTTAGCACAGGTGGCGTCTGACAGAGCAAGGAGGGGAGCGAGGCTCTGATCCTGACCCTGCTCCCCCCTGGCTGAGGGGTGCAGGGGCTTGGGGTGCTGAGCATGTTTTTGGCACTTTGAGCAGCCTGGATTTGGGGTGGGAGCTGAGGGCCCTGCTTTGTGGGGGCGTCCAGCGGCTCCAGCCCCCGCCGGGCTCCATCCTTTTGGTCGCTTTCCACCAGCGCGAAGCAATTAAGTTCAGAAGGCATCAGACAATCAGCCAGCAGCCCACAAGACGTTGTGTTTAATCATGTTCTAATGGCATGTTCTTGGCAATAATTACAAGATAACAGTGTTTGCAGGCTGTAATCAGAACAATTCTAGTAATTAAATCAGCCTTTTGTCAGCACGGCCCTGCCCCTCTGCCGCGTGGCAGAGCAGCCTTCGGACCCCTTCCCGCAGGAGCTGGGCACCCTCGGGGTCACCGCTGCTGTGCCAGGCTTGGCACCACGAGCTGAGGCTGGAGAATTGGGGGCTGCGGGCCCCAAAACCCCCTCGAGGGCTCGGGGGCTATGGGATCACATCCTGGGGAGCGCTGCCACCAAACTGCTCTGGGATGGGTGCTGAGCCAGGGCAGGATTTCGCCCTGAGCACCCTGCACCTCGCCCAGCCTGATTTTGCTCACCCATACTCCTCTAATTTGGCCTTTAATAAGATTTTTCCAGCCTCGTTATACTGACCAGGGTCACCATTCAATTTAATTGAAAGGGTTGTTAACAAAGGTAATTCCCTGAGACCCTGTATTGGCTCTTCCATGGTCTTGGAAGAGTCTGGTCACTTTTTGGGTAGAGCCAGTTTCCAAATTTTGGCCTTTCCTTGGAAAAACAGGATCAGCTCAGCTCCTCTGGCCACCTGCGTGTGCATCAGGCACCTGCCTGTCCCTGCCCACAGCACAGCAGGCGGTGGGATGGGGCTGGTTCCCTGCAGAAAGGTTTCTTTCCAAAACCCGGGGTGCTCCGGTGTCCCTGTTGTCCCAGCTGTGCGCACTGCTTCTGGCCACACAGCACAGCCAGCACCTTAAAAAGTTTCCTTTTTTTAATTTTATTATTTTTTTTTTTAGAGGGGAGAAGAATAACCCAAGAACAAAACTAAGGAGTTCTGTGGCTCCTCCAATAATTAACTTAGTTCTCAGCTGTTAGTTCCCATACCCGAAGCCCTCTATTTAATATTCTCGTTTGTGGTTAATCATTTATCAAGAGGGAACAAACGGTGATTAGCTCGTCTCTACCTCCCCGAGGGTGAGGGAGGCAATTTGGGCTAATCAATGCATCGGCTGGCACGGGGAAACTTTTATCTCATTGCCCTGAGTTATTCAGGTGGCAGCTCTGCCCCTGTGCCACGGGAACGTCCCTGGGATGGGGTACGGGGTCTGTGCCTCTGGGTGCTGGGGGTTTTCTCTTCCCCTGGTGTGTGCAGGGCTTTGGGAAGGGCTGGGAGCTGCTTCCCTGCCTCCCTGTGAGGGGTGCCTGTGGCTAAATGCAACCTGCAGCAATCAAAGGTCCCCGAATTACTCCAAAAATCAGGCTCCCTGCTCCTTTTAAATGAGAAGGGAAGAGAAGGAAAGGTGCAGCTTTTGGGGAGGGCTGCTGTGGCCCTGCAGGGACCTGCCTTGAGTCCTTCCACTTCACCCCACCTATCTAAAGCAGCTTTTTTCCAGCTCAGCAAATCCATCTGGTGGGTAGAAACCCCCCTGGGTGGTGCTCCCCCAGCTGTGAAGGGGTCTGGGTGCTCAAACCAGGGCTTTTCCCCCTTTGGCCACTGCTTTCAGCTGGGTTTGGAGGAGGCTGGAGCAGCTTCACCCCGGGGTGCTGGCTCTGGGGTGCAAATTGGGTGAGCCTGAGGCCAAAATGCACGGTGACCCCCACACCCTCACACCTCTGGAGCTGCACCTACAGGCTCGGGAGCAGCTTTTGGAGCCCAGGAGATGATTTTTTGACAAGCCCCAGTGTAAGCCCCAGCCTGCTTCTGCTCTGAAGGCTGCGACAATCTCAGCGGCTGATGCTTGGATGCCCCCAGATCCCACCCACCTCCTCGCTCCGTCTCGGGGACGACCCCTGGGGGTGCTCAGCAGCCCCCTCCCAGCCTCCTGCAGCCCCCCGGGGGGTGGCTCCGAGCCCCATCCCCACCGGGCAGAGCCGCGGCCGGGGCGTTGCGCAGGCAGGCGGCTCCCTCTGGCGGCTCGGGGCCGGCTGGAGCCCCCCCGAGCCCGATGTGTCCCCCCCCAGGGGCTCGGTCACCTCGGGGGGAGGCTCCCCGGGACCGTCCCGAAGCGATCTGGGGAGCCCGAGGGGGGGCCGGCGCTTGGCACCCCACTCGCAGCGGTCGGGGATCGTTTGGGGCTGGGGGCTGCGCGGTTGCTTGGTTTCCCCAGTAGCCCCTTTTCCAGCTCCCAGTTCCACCCCAGTATCCGATCTGGTCGTTACTGGGTGAATATTTACGAGGGCTCTGAGGGAAAGGCAGATTCGGAGCAAATTTTGGATGGAAGCGGAGTCTGGCCCCCGGTTGAAGTGCAGCTGCCTTAATTTCCTGATTAAATTCCAGCTTGCGAATAAAACATTTGCAATTCCCTTCAAATTAGGGAAAAAAAAAAATCCCTTAAAGTTAGCTGATTGTGAGCTGCTGCCTCGCCACTGAACCTGCAAAGGGCCCGGGGAAGGGAGCACGAGGCATTTTTTTGGGGACAGGCAGGAGCCATATGGGAAACCCCCTGCTTGTAGGGCCAGGTGTGTGTGGGGATGGCGAGCACCCGGCGCTGGCTCTGCCTGGGTTTGGAGCTGCCAAAATCCCAAATCAGCCCCCCTTGGGGACGTGCACCCAGCTGGGGATGAGCCGTGGCCCCGTTTGCCCGTGGTGCTGGGATGATGCCCCCATGGGACTGTGGCACCCGGGGGTTTGTTCCCGTGCCAAGCCGAACGTGCTCTGCTAATCAATAAATTGATTTGGGTTTATCCTACAAAGTGAAACCCCATGGCTCCCGCTGCTTTCATCCTTCCTGCTGTCGATGGCAATAACGAGGGGGGGATCTGGGGAGAGCTGCGGGCTCCTCCTGAGCTGTTAGGGGATCGATGCCCCCCTCGGCGCTGCTAATAGTGGGATGGGGAAGGGTTCGGTGCTGTTTGGGGGTGCCCGACCCATTTCTGGTGGCTTTGCTCAGCCCCACGGAGCCACTGATCACGAGAGATCGAGGGGGACAAATCGCTGTGCACTTTTGCAGAGGTGCAAGAGGGGAAAAAAGGAGCAGCCCTTAAGAAACTGATGGAGAGGCTGAAATTGTCCCCAGGGAAGGGAAAAAGCAACGGAGATGCCCAAGGAAGAGCCTTGAGGAGAGAGAAAAGCGAGCCTCACACCACGGCCCCCCCCACACACACCCAGCACAGACTTGTTTTGATTCAAGGAAATCAACGCATTGTCTCAGTTCATTACCAATCCATCTCCTTTTTATTGTCCAGTTCTTAAAAAGTTGGCGGTTTTCTATTCATCGTTATAAAATAATCCTATTTTACACAGATTTACAGCTGCCTGAGCCCGGCAGTGGACAAGGCTGGCTCTGGCACATCTTAAATAGTCAAACCACAATTTCTGCTTTTTAATTAAAAAAATAATAAAATAAAAAGGAAGACAAGGGGGGAATCAGCACCAACCCCTCCCCTCCAGCCCCAAACAGGACATACCAGAGCGAGAGGGTTTGTATAAAAGTCGATTTATTTCTTTGGGATGGGCACAGGGAGGGGCAGAGGGGCCGGTGGCGAGCCCCAGCACCAAGGACGGGCACGGGGACGATGTCCCTTTGTTCCTCACCCCGACCCCAGCTGCTGGGGGGGGGGGGGAAATCTGCCCCCAACCGGGGGTCCCCCCGACCCTACACCCTCCCTCCTATGGGCTCCCCACTTTGTGCAGCCCTCGGGGCCGGGATGGCGCAGAGGTGGCTTCCTAGGGGGTTGCAGTTTTGGGTCCCTGGGTCCCCTCAGTACAGGGGTCCCTTGACAGCCCCCGGCTCCGTCAGGCGCGCCGAGGCGTAGGCAGAGGCTCCGAGGCAGGCAGCCGGCTCGCAGAAACCCGGTAACCCCGTGGGGCCGGGTAAACCGGGGCGGCCAGCATCCCCTGGGGCTCCTGGGGGACCCCGCTCCCCGTCTTTGCCATCCAGAGCGTGGCCGGGGATGCCGGGGAGACCTGCGAGGGGAGCGTGGCCGTGAGGTGGGGGGCTCAGCTCCAGCTCCCAGCACCTTTGGTGTGGGGATGCGCTGCCCCCACAGCTGGTAATGCCACGGGGTAGGGTTTGTGGGATGAATCTGCCCAGGTTTGCAGGCGTGGGACAAAAGCGCCTGGTTTTATCTATTACATAGGGTTGGGGGTGTCCCCAGGGGCTCACCTGGGATCCCTGGGGGTCCCGGCATCCCTGGGTGTCCGCGGCCGATGTCTCCCCGCTCACCTTTCTCTCCACGCTTTCCTGTGGGGGGGAAGAAAAAAAAACAGAGGGAAGGGAAGGCTGGAGCTGCAGCAGGAAGCATGGGGATGCTGGAGGGGGTCTATTTTACCCCGACAGAGCCCCCCCCAAACACATCACCCTTTTGCTCGCCCCCTGCCACCCACCACCTACCTTTGGGTCCGATGTTGCCGATCTGCCCGGCGGCCCCCAGGATGCCGGGGACACCTCGAGGTCCCATGGGGCCGTGTGGGCCTTGCTCCCCAGGTGGACCCGGGGGTCCTGGTGGGCCGGGGGGGCCCATGGCACCGGCTCCCCCCAGGGCAGCTCTCTTGGCGCTCACGGCCACCTCCGCCAGCTGCTCTGTAGGGCAGAGAGGGGCCGGTGTGGGATGGGATGTGGTGTGGGGTCCTGCTTGTGGGGTGTGCATGCACCAGGTGCCATTTGCCCCCCCCTCACCTTGCAGCATCTTCAGCACCACGTCGACGATGTGCTGGTCCCCGGCGTCCCGGCCCTGTGGGCAGTGAGAGGAGGGATGAACCATGAGGGGACATCACACCAGGGCCAGCCCTGTCCTGCTCCCCCAGCCCAAAGCACCTCCGTGTGCCCTCACCCCCTTCCCGACCCTTTTTTTCCCCGTTCAGCCCCCATAGAGGTGCTCCAGCCTCGTGCCGGGCCAGCCCCACAACCTGCTCGCCACCTTCGAGTTGCAGAATTGGGCTGCAGGAAGCTAAAATTGGGCTTAGAGGGAAAAATTCTGTTCTGGGAAATAAGAGAAAAGGCTGCAAAGGTGCGCCTTGGACCTAAATCTGCTGATTTTATGTACGGGGGGGGAAAAAAAAGAGCTGAGCTGTTCTGTTCTGGAAAGGGGGGCTCCCGAGATCAGCTCAACAAGCTGCAACTTGGGGCTTATTCTGAACTAATCAGCTCAGCTCCAGCTGCCCGGAGGAAGCAGTCAGTAAGGGAAGGTCAGAAAATGACCGGAGACACCACCGATGTCCCCAAATCACCTCCTGGGTGGGGGCGCAGGAGGTGCGGGGTGGCTGGGGGTTTTTGGGCTGTGGGTTTTTGGGGTACTCACCGCTACGCCCCGCTGGCCGGGCATCCCCTGGCACGCCGCGCTCCCCGACGAGTCCTCGGGGGCCAGGAGGACCCGGGTAGCCCCGCACACCCGGTGCAGCCCGCGTCCCCCGAGGGGCCGGGGAAGCCGAGCTCGCCTTGGATACCTTGCTGCGAGGGGATGGAGAGGGTCAGGGTGCTGAGCTCAGCCCCACGCTGGGTGTGCGTGGGGTTTAGGGTCACCGCCAGGGTCCACGGAGGACGATGGGCTTGGGGTGAGGGTCCCTTGGGGATGCCCAGCAGTGGGGTGTGGGGCTCTGCTCACTCACCTGCCCCTTTGGTCCCGGCTCGCCTGATTCACCCTGGGGACAGAGAATGAAAGAAATTCGATGGGGAAGCAGCACACGTTTAGCAGTGGTCTTTGGGGTGGGGGGGACACATGCATAGCCCCCCAGGAATGCCCCCCAAGGGTCACTCCTGCCCCCTACCTTCTCGCCCTTCACCCCCGCAAGGCCGTGAACGCCGGGGTCACCCTAAAGCAAAGACAACGAAGCTGTGAGACCCCCACCAGCACTGAATCCCACCCCCTTCCCCATCCCGCTGCGTTAGAGCTGCTGCTCCTCCACGCCGGGGGGGTACTCACGATGCCACCTTTGGGGCCGGTTTTCCCTGGGGAGCCCTGGAGGAAGGAGAGAAGGGGGTGAGCCGAGGGGTGGGTGCGCCCCACGAGCACCAAGTGGCTGCTAAAAGCCCCCCCTGTGCCCCCCCCGGCCCTGCAGCCGTCACCTTGTCTCCTTTGACTCCTGGCAAGCCTTGGGGTCCTGGGATTCCTGGTGGCCCCTGCTCACCCTTGGGCCCCTGGAAATTGAGGAAAGAGAAGGAAAAAGAGGGAAATGAATGGCACAAACCTGGGGAGCATCAGCTCCACCACCCCAACCCAACCCAAATCCCACAGCTGTGGGGTCACAGGGCAGGACGGGGGGAGGACAAAGCCCCCGCTCCACCCTCATGAGCCAGGGGGGTTCTGCAGGGAAGGGGCCCCATCCCCATAAGAACAAAGCTCAATTTGGGGCTGTTTCCCACCCTATAAAACCCCCCAAAAGGGGCCAAGCGCTCACCCCGCCGGCTGCCCAGCTCTGGCAGGGCAGGGAGGAAATTCCTGCCCCCCCAGGGGGCTGCTAATCCCAGCACTATTCCCCCTGCTGGGTAATCCCTCACCCCGCTGCAATCAAAGCTGCGGCTCCAGCCTTGCCCTGAGCCGTCCCCCCCCTTACACCCCGTGTCCCCCCCATGTGCTCACCGCTCTGCCCTGCTCCCCGGGGGCACCCACGAGGCCACGCTCACCCCGGTCACCCTGTAAAGAAAATAAGGTCAGGGGCAGTGCCCGGCACAACTGCAGCCCCCCCCCCAGTGCCCCCCACTCACCTTTGGTCCAGGGACACCCTGCGGTCCCTGCTCGCCACGAGGGCCAGGTTCACCCTAAAAAGGAAAAACACCCAGATTAGGGGGGTTTTAGGCTGGCAGGTGCCATCGTGAGCCCTTCATCCTTGGCAGGGGGTGCACGGCCCCCTCCTGGTGCCCCCCCCAGCCTCGGAGGGGCGGCTGCTGGCTGCAGAGCCTGGCCACGGAGGGGTTGGAGCCAGGGCTGGGGTCCCAGGGGGTGCGATGGGGGTGCTGAGATGCAGCCCGTGGGCTCCAGAGGGGTTTGAGAGCAAAAAAAAAAGGGGAAAACACGGCCCCGTGCTGCTGGGGGGGGTCATTGGGGTTTCTACTCACCAGCTGCCCCGGGGCGCCGGTGATGCCTGGCTGGCCCCGAGCACCCACTTCGCCCTGAGGACAGACAGAGGCGCTCAGCATCGGGTCCCTGTCCCCCCCCCAAAGATGCAGGAGGGGAGTGGGATGCAGGAGGGGGACACGGGGGGGGGGACGGGGCTGTGGGCTCAGCCCCACACCCACCTTATCTCCTGGGCCACCTTTGCTTCCCGGCTGGCCCGGCAAACCCTGCGGAAACACGGCAGGATCAGACCCCACGCGCCCCATCCTTAGGGGGTGACGTCCCCGCAGGGTGCTGGCCCCGCACCCAGCACCCCCCAACCCCTTTTTGGGGGGGGTTTCCCCTACTCACAGCCTGTCCCCGGTGTCCCGGAGGCCCCGGGCGGCCGGGCTGTCCTGCGCTGCCCTGCGGGGAGGAGGAGGATGTCACCACCACGGCACAAACGGGGGCACCATGGTGGGACACGAGGAGCCCCGTCCTCGATCCCACAAGGGCCAGGAACCCAAGCCACTCGCCGTTCCCAGTATTTCCAGTGGTGATATACTGGGAGGAGGAGGAGCAGCGGGTGCTGGTCCCCCCGCAGCCCCCCCGCAGCCCCTCACCTTCACGCCGGGGATGCCCGGGGTGCCGTCCTTGCCATCGATGCCTGGGAGACCCTACAAAAAGGGGACGGGGGGATTCGGTCTGACACCCCCAAAGGGCCAGGAAAGGAGGGGAAGGAGCCCAGCAGCCCCACGTGCCCCCTCCGAGCCGGGGTGCGAGGACACGAGGTGGCCCCGTGGGGATAAGGGGGGGACACCGAGAGGCTGCTCCTGGCTCAGGGCGCTGCCAAAGGTACTCACGTTCTCCCCCTTGGGGCCGATGTCTCCTTGGGGTCCCCTGATCCCGCGGCCACCCTACAGTGGGAGAGAGCGGGGGGGGGGATTTCTGCAGCGCCCTCAGCGCAGGGGATGGGGCTGATGGGCACGGAGATGGAGGGGGTGCCCAGAGAGCCCCTCTCCGCACCAGGGAGTGGTGCCAAGCTGGGGAAACGGGGACATTTGGGTTGCCCGTGGGCTACCTACCAGCTCTCCCTTCTCGCCCGGCTCCCCTGGAGGTCCTCTGGGGCCTTCCCTGCCCTACAGGGGGGATAATAGGGCTGAGCGGGGGGGCACAGTGCCACCCACCCACCCGCACCCGGGGCGAAGCGAGGGGGCACTCACCGGCCGCCCGGCCGCGCCGATGGTCCCCACCATCCCCTTGTAGCCAGCAGGACCCTGCAAAGAGAGCACGGAGGGGGGATTCCTCCCAGCCCAGCTCCGACCCCATTAACGGCCCCTCCAGAGGCCGAATACCCGGGTTGGGGGTGCTCCTGGCAAGCAGCCCCCAGCCCCTGCCCTGCCTCCCCCCCCCCGGCGCTTACCGTCTCGCCCTTGGGTCCTGCCATCCCCGGGTAGCCCCGCTGGCCCTGTGGTCCCTGGGGGGGAGGAAAAAAAAAAAATCTGGGCTCAGCTGGAAGCTGCCAGCAGCACCTGGAGGGGGGGGGGGGCACAATTAAAGCAGAATCTGATGTGGGAAATTGGCCACTTTTGCCAAACTCGAGGAGTTTTTGCCCTAATTCCGCCGGAGCCCAGCAGGCCCCTTTCCAGCTGTCACTCCAATCACAGCAGCAGCCCCATAACAGGGCTGCCCCCCCAAAAAAAAAAGCTCGGGGCTTCAAAGCAGGTTTGCCCTTTGCTGCAGCAGGGGGGGTCAGGGGGGCTCAGCCCGGTAATTGCTCTGCATCTTCAAAGCGCTCCGCGGGGCTCCCGGCTTAATCCCCGCATCCCCGCAGCGAGCTGGGCACCGCAGCCCCGGTTGGGGTGGGTTGGGGGGGGCTCAGAGGGAACGGGGGATTTGTCCCAGGTCATCCAGTCAGCTTTTGGGACCCCCCAGGGGTGGCAGCTCCATCGCTGGGAGGATGGGGGTGAGGGGATGGTGGCTGTGCCCCGGTTCCAGGGGTTGGTGCAGGGACACGACACCACGTGCGCCAAATTTGGGGGCACAAACCGGCCCCCCCCCAGCCCCTATACAGCCCCGAGCACCCCAGAAGAGCAGCATAGAGAAATAAATACGGTACTGGAGGGCCTGGGATGCCTTGCTCTCCGGAGACGCCGACGTCACCCTTGGGACCCTGGAAAGGGATGGGGAGAAGAGGGGTGAGAGCCAGGGTGACACGTCCTGGGGGGCTGGGACCCCTCCCCTGGGACCTGGAAGGGGATGGGGTGGGATGGGGATGGGATGGGATTGAAGGGGGAATGGGATTGGGATGGGATGGGAATGGTTTGGGGATGGGATGGGATGGGATGGAAATGGGGATGGGATGGGGATGGTTTGGGGATGGGATGGGGATGGGGATGGGATGGGGTTTGGCAAAATGGGGATGGGATTGAAATGGGGATGGGGATGGGACGGAGCCAGGTTCCCCAGGGAGCACAGAGTCCCATCCTCCATGGGAACATCACCCCCCACCCTCCTCTCCTACCTTCTCCCCCATTTTCCCCCTTTCTCTCCCCACCGCCCTCACCCCCAGCTCCCCAAATCACCCACCCCATTCCCTGCTGGGATGCTGGGATGCTCAGCCCCACTCACCTGCCTGCCCTGCTGGCCAGGCTCTCCCAGGGCACCGGGACGACCTCTGTGTCCCTAAAGGCGAGGAAGAGGAGGAGGAGGAGGGGGTGAGCTCCCCGGAGCCACCCTGCCCACCGTGTCCCCCCCCCAGCAGCAATGCCCCGGGGCTCAGCACCCCACGGGCGGCTCCGTGCGTGCGCATCGCTTCAGGGACAGTCCCTGGCTGCACCCCGCTGGCTCCAGGGGTTCCTCACCTTCAGTCCCTGCAGTCCTTGGGGGCCCTTGGGACCCGGCGGGCAGTTGGTCGGGCACTGAAAAACAAAAAAAAAAGAAAAAAAAAAGAAAAAAGAAGAAAAAAGAAAAAAAAGGAAAAAAAAGCACACGTTGGGCTGGGGAGGAGCCGTGCGCAGGCGCTCCTGCCCAAAGGACGAGCTCACATGCGTAAAGTCAAGGCTGGGAGATGCAGGAGCCCACCGCCCCCAGCATCGCTGCATTTTGGGCCCCTTCTCCCCCCCCCAGGCACCAAATTCCTGATGAATTTTGGGCCCGTGCCGCGGATGCTCTCCCAGCTGCCGTTAAGCCATAAAAGCCTGCTGAAGGGGGCGAGGTGGGGGCAGCTCTCACCAAGAAATCAGCGCTGCCCTCCAGTCCTTGGATGTGTCCTGGGGGGCCCTGAGGGGAAGGAAGGAGACCGTCAGCACCCGTGGGAGCAGATATTTGGGGGGGGGGGGGTAAATGTGGCACCCAGGAGGGAGGTTGGTGCCCGTGGAGCTGCAGCACAGGCTGGAGCTGCGCCCGGGCGGATACTCACGGGTTTTCCTGGGGGGCCTGGGGGACCCCGCGGGCCGTCGGGTCCTGGGTCACCCTAGGAAAAAAACCCAAGGAGAGGGGATTTATTTAGGGCTGGGTGGGCAGCAGGGACTGCCAGAGCTGGCACGGAGAGGGGAGACGAAGCGCCAGGGACCCCGGCTGTCACACTGGGAACGGGGGCACCCCTGGCTGGGAACTGGGGGGTTGACGGTGCAGGGGGACCTGGCTGCGGGTGCTGAGCCCGTTCCTGCTGTAGGGGATGCTCACGCACATTATGGGGTCTCCCAGGTGTCCCCAAAGTGCTGAGATGGGTTTAGGGAGGACTCCTGCCCTGCGCTCCCTGCAGCCCCCTCACCTTGGGTCCCAGCGCTCCGATCTCCCCGGGGAGTCCAACCTGGCCTGGAAGCCCCTTAAGGAGAAGAGAGACATTCAGCGAGCAGGAGGGGGAGCCCCAAAACCCCCATTTGGCAGTGCTGAGGTCTGAGCTCCGGCAGCACCCCCCCAAACCGGGGGCCTGGCCGACCGCCCCGACCCAAGCACAGCACTTACGGGCGGTCCTGGCAGCGAGGGGCCCTGCAACAAGAAGAGACACGGTGAGCCCAAATCTGCTGCCCCCCCAAACCCGACAGCAGCCCTGCTCCGTGCGGGGTGCATTGGGGGGGGGTCAGGGCTTTGTCCCCGCTCTGTTCCAGCCCCGTTTGTGGGTGCTGGAGGCAGGAGCGGGCGCATCACGCGCGGTGCCCGGGGGACACGTGGATACTCACGGGGAGCCCCGGTGGCCCTGGGAGTCCGGGCTGGCCCTGCAGGGACAGAAGGGAAGATTTGAGGGTCTGGCCCACCCTGCCAAGCCCCCTGCTGCTGCTGTGACAACTGCTAAATCCCCCCCCCAGCATCCCGTCCCCGTGCCCTGGCACTGCCCCAGTTCCATCACCCCGCTCCTGCACCCGCGCGTCCCCTCCATGGCACTGGGATGGCCCCAGCCTGGCCAGGACCCCGCTCGCTGAAGGAGGGGGCAAATGGGGGCCCTGGGGTGATGCTCCCCACCCTTACCTTCAGTCCTGGCCCCCCCATGGGTCCAGGCTCCCCTTTTGCTCCCGTGAGGCCCTGCAAGAGGAGAGAGAGAGCAGGAGGTCACTGCCACTGCGCCCACCCCGAGTCCTTCTCCAGCATCCCGTGTTTTTTCTGGGGTTGTTCCCATGGTGGGGGGCTGAGGGTGGGGATTTCTCTTTGTCACTCGGCCACGAACACGTCCCAAAATAAATTGGGGCTGGTGCCTGTGGCGAAGCCGGGTGGCACAGGGGAGCTGGGGCAGCACCACCACAGTGACCCTGGGGCAATAACGCGTGCCTGCGGTGACGTTGCCATCCTTATTTATTACTGAGGAATAAATAAACCCTAAAAGGTTTACGAATTGACATCCAGAGACCCTAAAGAGTTTGGGTTTCCCACTGGTAAGCAGGTGGAGAGGTCTGATGCTCGCAGACGTGGACGTGCTCAGCACCACACTGGGGAGGGGGGCACCAAACCCATCGCGCACCCCGTGTACCCCACTGCAGGGACGGGGCTCCAGCCCCTCTCCCCGGCTGTGGCAGCCCCCATTCTGCAGGGAAGGGGACAACGGGGACATGGGGGTGCCACCGGGGGGGCTTCTGCTGAGCCAGAAGATTTGTGGATGGAAGAAACGAGCTCGGGACGGGCGCTGTGGCTGAGGAGGAGGAAACGTGTCCCGGAGCCTCTCCGTGCTCCCGAGGAAAGGGTGCCAGGGCTTCTCCATGCCCCCAGCACCCCCATCCTGCAGCCCCCCCCGTGGGACCCCAGGTGCTTGCGGTGCCGTGGGACGAGGGCTGGGTACTCACGTCGATGCCCGGCTTCCCTGGGGGCCCATCGGGACCGGGGGCTCCGGGCTCCCCCTTGGCACCCTGGAGAAGAAAACGGCCACGGTGTGAATTAGAAAAGGCTCCTCCAGGAGGGGAGAGACAACCGGGGGGCTCGGGGGGGGGACACGGGTACTCACCGGAGAGCCGGGGGCTCCAGGCGAGCCTTTGTCACCCTGGGGAAAAGGAGGGAGGTTGCCAATGGGGTCTGTCACCCCACAGAGATGGACCCCACAGAGGGGGGTGCTCGGGACCAGCTCTGCGCCTCCCAAACCTGGCGCAAGGCTCCCGGGGCCAGGATGGGGATGGAGGTGAGAAAAGAGAGGGCTTTGGTGCGGTTTTAGGGTATAAATAGCACTAAAAAAATAAACCACCCGGGGCCGGGGTGGAGCTCGGGGAGGGAAAAAGGGCCCTGGGAGGCTCACAGATCTCCCCTCTGTTCAGGCTCCCACCCCACAGCCCTGGGGACACTCCAGGACCCTCGGCCCCTTGCCACCACCCTCGGCCACCCAGCCTGGGGGTCCCGCTGCCCCCAATCCCCCTCCTCACCAGGGCAGGACCCATCCTTGGAGCCAGACAGGGCAGCCCCAAGCACCATGGACCAAAAGATCCCCAAAAAAAAACCATTTCAGGCCCCGTTTCCCCAGGAGGCTCCAGCCTGCTGTCCCCAAGCTGTCCCCAGGTGCCAGCTCCCGCTGCCACCAGCACTGCCCAGAGCCACGGGGATGCTCCGGGGGGGTCCAGGGGGGGCCCCACAGCCCAGCCCTGGAGCAGAGCAGAGCAGGAACCCGTCGGCACCGCAGCCCCTGCCTCGGCCGAGCCTCTGCCACCAGCACAAAGGGGACTTTGTGCCGCAGTCCCGTCCCCCCCCCCCTCCCCGCCGCCCGCACTCACGTCAATGCCATCCGCTCCCGGCACTCCTGGCGGACCGGGGGGGCCACGCGGGCCAGGCTCTCCTGGTGGCCCTCGCTACGGGGAAAAGGGAGGGGGAGAAGGGTCAGGAAGCAGAAGACGGACCCCAGGAGATTATTTGGGGTCGGGGGCTGCGTGGGGTGAGGGGTTTGCCACCAGCTTGCACCGGGGACGCTTCTCCGGAGGGAAAAGCGAGCACCCCGTGGCACCCCCTGGGCACGTCGGTGCCAGCCTGTGCCCCCCAAAAAGGCACGGATGGAGACATTTGGGGAATGGAGAAATCCCCCCCAAAAGGGGTTTTAGGTGCCCGAAACCCGGTGTGAAACGGGGACGCTGAGCTCCCAGCACCGGGGCTGGCTCGCTGCCCGGCAAGCGGTGAGCGCGATCGCGGTGTCGCGGCGCACAAAAGCCCCATTCAGCCCGTGCCCAGGGAGCCCCCGAGCAGCCCGGCCTCCGGTTTGGGGTTTTCAGGGCAGCAGCCCCACAAAGAAAGCTCCGTGATCCCAATGGGGAGCGGGTTTTGGTGGTGGAGCCCGAGCCCGTGGTGTTCCTGGAGAGGATAAACGGGAGCCGGGGCTGGCACACAGCGGGGCTGCCGCAGCCCTCGAGGATCATTTATTTTGAAAAATATGCAGGGATGGGACGTCGAGATGGGTTTTTTTCACAAAATCGAGGGCTCCCTGGCTTCAACGTGGAATTAAATCCTGCATTTGGGGCCGGGAGGGAAAGCGAGCCCCCCCCTGGTGAATGGCACCTTTGTGCGCCCCAAACCGTTTCCAAAAGCTGCCCCGTCCCAAAAGCTCCCCCGTCCAAAAAGCTCCCCCGTCCCATCCCAGCTGCTGTCCGGGCACAGCAGGAAGGCAGAATTTCCCCAAATTCTTCCCAAAAAGCGAGGAGAATTTCCCAAAGCTTCCCCTCCCGACCTCCAAACGGGACCGGGGGGGCCCCGAGGGCTCCCCTCCGCTCCGTGCCCCCAAAGGGACCTGCGCAGCACTCGCTCCGAGGGACACGACCCCATCCCATCTCCCCAATTTTTATCCCCCCACCTCTGGGTGAGTTTGCCCCCCCCCACCAGGACCCCCACCCCCAGCACCCCTCTCCCCTCAGCCAGCCCCCGCAGAGCCCTTCAGTGGGGCTGAGCCCCCCCCCGGAGCCCCCTCAGCCTGGCTCCGCAGCGCGTCCCGGCAAAGCAGAAGCGAACCCCAAAATTTGGGATGCTGGGGGGGGGGGGGAACCCCCCACCCCTCCTATCCCCAGGGGTGTCCGAGAGGGTCCCAAACACGTCCCCAAATCTGAGCGGTCCCCACACCGGGGAGCTGGGGGGGGCTTTGGGCACGGGGCTGGGGGTCCCAATTGGGGCGCACCGGGGGGGGCACGGGGACGGTCCCCTGGCACCCCCCACACCCCAATACAGCTCGGGGGGGGTTCGGGGAGGGGGGGGGGACACAACTCACGAGCTGGGCCAGGCAGAGGCAGGCGTGGAGGAGCAGCGAGAGCCCAAAGCTGCGGCCGGCCATGGTGGGGGGGCGGCCGGCACCGAGCGGTGGGGGCTTCGGTGGGGGCTGCGGGGAGCTGAGTGAGGCTGCTGGAGGGCTCGGAGGGATGAGGAGGAGGAGGAGGAGGAGGAAGAAGAGGAGGAGGAGGAGGAGGAGGAGGAGGAGGAAGGGGGGTTATTAATATGCAGCCCCCCCCCCCGCAGGTGAGCGCGCTGCTATTTGGGGCTGCGCAGGGTGGCACAAAGGGGGCTTTGATGCAACCAAGGGGCTGGGAGGTTTGGGGGGGGGGGGGGACGGGGGGGGGGCAGAGGGGGGCTGATGTGACTGCCCCCCCCCCTCCCTTTGCCATGGGAGCCCCCCCCCGTGCATCACCGGTCCCCAGTAAGCCCCCAGTATGGCACTGGGAGGGGATGGGGCAGCGGGAAGCCCTTGGGTACATGTTGGGGGGCACCGTGCTGCGCCCCCCCCCCCCACCAGGGGGGGTCCCATCCCCCTGCCAGCCATCCCCCCCCCGGTTTTGCCACCCCCAGGAGGCTCGGGGATGATTCATCTCTGCCGGATCGCCTTCCTCCCCCCCCCCCTCCTCTTCCTCCTCCCCCCCCCTCCTCCTCCTCCTCCTCCTCCTGATTCACCAGCGGGGTGCTTGGGCCCCCCCCCCCCCCCCGAAGGGCACCCTGGAAGCCCTGCGCCACCCCAAGACCCCCCCCCAAATTCCTGCACGGCGCCATCCCGGCACCCCCAGCCCCCCCGATCCCCCCCCAGCCAACCCCCCCCAAGTCCCTTTGAACCCCCAAGACCCCCCCGATCCCCCACCCCACCACCCCTGCACCCCTCCAAGCCCCCCCCAGCCCCCCCCAGGCCCCAGCCCCCCCAGCCCCCCCCAGCCAACCCCCCCAGCCCCCCCAAGCCCCCCTGATCCCCCAGCCAACCCCCCCCAAAATCCCCCCCAAACCCCCAGCCCCCCCATCAACCCCCCCCAACCCCCCCCCAGCCCCCCCAAGCCCCCCAGCACCCCCAAACCAACCCCCCCCACCCCCCCTGCACCCCCCCACCTCCAGACCAAACCCCCCCGTGGGCCCCCCCACGCCCCCCCTGGCCCCCCCTGACCCCCCAAACCTCCCCGGCCCCCCCACACCCCCTCAAACCCCCCCAATCCCCCCCAACCCCCTCCGCCCCCCCAGGCCCCCCCCACACCCCCCCCAAGCCCCCGCCCCCCTCCCCCCGCCCCCCACTCCCTCCCCCTCCCCTCCCACCCCGTCACGTGACCCTCCCCATTCATGCCTCCCCCTCTCCCCCCTCCCCTCCCCTCCTCCTCCCTCCCTTCCCATTGGCTCCCTTGGCCCGTTCCTCCCCTCAACCAATCAGCGCCGTGCACGGGCCGAGGGGGCGGGGACTCAGGAGGCGTTAAAGCGCGCGCGCTCCCTCCCATTGGCTCCTCCCTCTTTACGCCCCGCCCACTACCGGCTGACCGGAAGCAGGAAGCGGCGGGGGGGGCTCCGGCGGTGGCGGCGCCGTGACCCGCGGGCGGGCAGCGGCGGCGGCCGGGCCATGACGGGGAAATCGGTGCGGGACGTGGAGCGCTACCAGGCCGTGCTGGCAGGGCTGCTGCTGGACGAGGCCAACAAGTTCTGCGCTGACTGCCAGGCCAAAGGTAACCGGCGGGGGGGGGGGGGCTGGGAACGGGAACGGTAACGGGGAGGGGGAGGGGTGGGGGGGGTTGGGAGGGGGATTTGGGGGGTTTTGGGGAGGGGTTTGGGGGTTGAGGGGGGGCTTAGAGGGGGTTTGAGGGGGCTTTGGGGGGGTTGGGGGGGTGATGACCCCGTTGGGGGGGTGATTGGGGGTGTATTGGGGGGGTTTAGGTAAAGGTAATAAAAAATTGAAGTGAAAAAAAGGTTAAAAAGCACGAATTTGGTTGTAGAGCGCTGATTGAGGTCATGGGGTGGGAGCTCGGTGGTCTCTGGTGTTGTGGGAGGAGGCCCGGAGGGTGGGCACGGGGTGGTGGTGGATGTGGGGGGGTGAATGGGAGTGTATTGGGGGGGATTAGGTAAAGGTAATAAAAAAATAAAGGGGAAAAAAAGGTTAAAAAGCACGAATTTGGTTGCAGAGTGCTGCCTGAGGTCCTAGGGTGGGAGCTCGGTGGCCTCCGGTGTCGGGGGGAGGAGGCCCGGAGGGTCGGCACAGGGTGGTGGTGGATGTGGGGGGGTTGAGGGGGCTGGGGGTGGCCCCGGGGGGGATGCGAAGGGACACGGGGGGGTCACAGGGGGGTGATGTGGTCGAGGTTCCTCCCCCCCAGTGCTGGGGACAGCCAGAGGGTGTTGGTGCCCCAGGAGGCAGGGGGGGTGGCACAGCCCTGACCTGTCCCCCTGTGATGCTGGAGTCTTTCCCATATTAAAAGGGCTAAGGTAGGGCTGTTTTTTATTTAAAATCCTGTTTTAGTGAGGTTTTTTTTGTGATTTGGAGGTTGGGAGTTGAGGTTTGTGTCCCAACAGCCCCGAATAAATGAGCTCCGGGAGCTGGGTCTCGGTGTCCAGCAGTGTCCAGGGGCTGCAGTGTGAGCTCTGAGAGCTGCCAGGTCCCACTGAACTGCCTGAAAATGGGGCTGCTCTGCATAGAAATATAAAATATATTTAAAAATACTAAAATAAAAACATAGGCTGCTCCTAGAAGGGACTCTCAGAAGCCCAGAAAGCAGTGCCCTCGTAGCAGCAGCTCGGTCTGGCAGCCCCTCACACCTCCACCTGGCTCTGCCTGACCCCGCAGGCAGGGAGCTGAGCGTAAAAGCCTGCGGGTCTCTTATCTCCTGGCTCCTAACGCCAGCACCAAGGGCACCAACAGCTGCCTTATCTCAAGGCAGGGCAGCGTTCTCATCGCGGCTCCTGGTTACTCGTCGTGTTGCTGTTCTGTAGCTGCTCCTGTTGACGGCGTGTCCTGGAGATGCCTCCCTGGCTCTAATTCTTAAGTCACAGCGCACAGTTAAGCCTCACCCCTGAAGCCTTAAGCTGCTTGTGCCAGGGGAAGCACCTGAGACCTGTCTGGAGGAGTGGGGGCTGCTGTCGTGCTCAGTCCTGCCTGGTGAAATAATGATCCCCGATCCTAATGAAACTCGTGGAGATGTCAGATCTCAGTCTGGAGAGCTCCAGGCTGCAGCAGGGTAGGCCCAGCGAGCTCTCCAGCCAGGTGCCAGCTGAGCATCGTGTTTTGTGCTTCTGTTGTGGCTTGCAGTGGCAAGGAGGGCCTGAATTTCGTGCTCGCTGCTGCTGCAAGGAACTGCAGAGCTCCTTTGGGCACGGGAACGAGCCCAGTGTGCTTGTGCAGAGTGAGGAGCACATCTCGTTTGATCTACGGCTTCATAACTACAACTCCGTGCAGGTCTGCACTGACGAGACCACGTGGCACTTGCTGCCTCCAGATGGTTTTCCTCAACGTTTCCAGTGCTACCTGGAAGCGTGGCAGTGCTTCTGTGCAGCCGGCTGCTTTATGGCTTTGGGCAGCCACAACGCTGGCTGTGCCAGCTGAGCTCGGAGCGGGATGTGCATTTTTGGAGATCCCGAGGTCCAAAATCATCATCTTTCCTGCAGAAATTAAACTTTTTTCACGAGCAGGCTTTGTGTCCTTGGTGAGCTGCAGATGTTGGTGCTGCGGCCCCGTGTTGGGAGCAGGCATTCGCCAAGGTCACCGCTGGATCTGGGTCGCTTCGTTAGCGGTGCTGGGGGGTGGCTGGAGGCAGGTGGCACTCCTTGCCTGCTCCTCCAGACAGCTCGTGTTCAAGGTCATCAGGATCTCAGGGCAAGTCTCAACAAAGCTGAGGGCAGAGGAAGAACCTGGCGGCTCCCCCAGCCCCTCTGAAGGCAGTGCTACAATAAAACACTGGCTTTGGACTCTTTTTTTGTGCCCAGCTTACCGGATCCGTGGTGTTTTGCTGCTTGAGCTGCGCCTTTCCAAGCTAGCATGACACATAAGCAGAGACTGTTCAGATGCCACCCACACTTCCATTATGCCTGTTCCCAATGACCTAACTGCTTGCTGGGTTTTGGTGCTGTATTTCTTCTATCTGCAGAACTAAATGAGATTTCGGTACCTGCAGGAACTGCGTGTACCCACCTGATCTCGTACCTCCACAGCGGCCTCAGCATCAGTCCGGGCCCTTCTCCCCTCGTGTGTTTGGGATTCGAGTGGCTTCCTCAGCACCCAGGACTCCTTCCAAGGCTTTGCTTCTGCGCAGCTGTGCTGTAGGAGCCACACAGTAAGAGTGAAAGGAGAAGTGTGAGCACAGCGGCTTCCCTCGGGGCTTCACGCAGCTGCCCGTGGCCAGGGCCAAGTTGTTGGAGGACAAAAAAAAAAAAGGGACAGGGAAACTGGGAAAACAAGCTCAGGGTTGGTTGCTTTGCAACAACAAACAGTGTGCAGTGCTTTGAGGCTCTTGTTTTGGAGGAAGTGGGCGAGATCTCTGCCCTGCTGCTTCCTCTTTCAATCGTGGAGCTTCTGTCAGTGTTATCTGTGGGTAAAGTGGGCAGGCTGATCAGAGAATGGGCAGGTGAGTGACCTGTGCTGAAAAAAAGGCATGGCAGGAGTGCTTTGTGGCAGCTGAGCTTGTGTGAAAGCTTCAGTGTACATGGGACAAACCAGGCTTGATCTCGGTGGCAGCCTTTAGGACATCACCTGGCAATGCTAGGCACAATCAAAACATTTGCAAGTGCTATCAAAGGTGCTCACATGATGCTATCAGGATACTAATTGTGATTATCAAAGCAGTCCTGGCACCACCTGCGATGGCACAGCTCCTCTCAGGACTACCCAGTGTGGCTAAGTGGAAGGCTGGAGGGACTGAATCATCATAATCCTCTTTATTTGAAGGTCTTGGCTGCTGTGTGCATTGCTGGAGTGCGATCCTTAAAAGAGAAACGAGCTGTTGGTGAGTGGGATCCTTTCTCTTGGTGCATTTCTCGTGGCAGGGACACTTCTGAGAGCAGTGGTGGTTCCATGTGTGTAGGATGTCAGGGCTGCCAGGCACTGACAGTCTGTCAGAAGCCAGGCTACCCAACACCAGAGCGAGCCCGGAGGCTGGAGCTGTGACGCAGGTGCAGGAGGGATGTGGTGTAATCAGGAAAATTGGTCCTGACCTCAGATGTCT